ATGGGTTAATGCTTCTACTTTTGGAAACATGTTTTAAACTTTTAAATGGCAACTTCTCTCTCAAATAAAACATTATAAATGACTTTTAAAATAACTTATTTATGTATTTCGGTACCTCTTGTCTTTAGCGCCATTCCTAGTGCAAGCTTCAATCCTCCAACTCTATGGGCGGAACTGTGTCCGGAGCCCAGGCGCCCACCAGGAGCCCAGGACTTCCTCTGTTGACCAGGGTCTTCTTTCCCCTCAGGTGCAGGCTCTGAGGGCAGAGTCCCACGTGGTGAATAAAGGGACTCTAGATCTGAGACTGCCAAACAGAAGCTAGGAGAGTGAGGTATTATTTAATAACATAAAAAAATGAAGAATCTGTTTTCTAAAAAAGTGAGGGGCTCCCTCTCCAGAGGCCACCACACATTTCTAGACAACCTCAGTTTGGAGACCACCGACAAGGCAGCCTTGGGCGCCTTGTGACCACGTGCTGAAGGATCCTGAGTCACCACTGCACAACTGAGAGAGCGCTGGGAATATGAATCAGCAAATACACGTTGACTGATCCCACGTGTTTGGAAAATGTCTAAATGTCCTCCCTTCCATTTTCGAAAACTTGTCAGAGAGGTCAAGGAAAAGAACGACTTCTGTTGCTACATTAATCTCTATTCGCTTCTCCCATCTTCCTGTCCGAGGTGTGAGGTGGCAGGAGCAACTTCTGAGAAGCACGTGTGCCTTTGGGGAGGCATGAAGCAATTCTGACAAGCAGATTAAAAATCCGCCTGCAGGTTTGATAGGGCACCGCCCTTTTCAACAGAACCTTCCAAGCCTTCCTTTATTGGAGGCTGATCTGAACAATTTGGGGGATTATTACGTTTCCCTAAAGCATCTGTTGAAACAGCAGCACGCGAGGTGCCAACCTAAATCCCGGGAGCTTGCCTCCTGGCTGAGTGACTTCTGCTGACATCCCAAGTCCCACAGCCAGGACTCGCCAGGAGCACCTCGGGCTCCCGGGTCAGGTTGGGCGTGGCTTCCCGGCAGGGGGCGGGGTCTGGGAAGGAGGAGTCACAAGGCTCAATAGCGCTGGCCCTGGGAAAGGCTGGGGGCGTCCCAGAGCGAGAACAAGGATCGACCCTGAAGGCCGAGCAGGAACAGAGTGAGAAAGTCCTGTGATAGAAGGGCTACAGCGACCCTGTTCTCCCGGGGCTCGCAATGCCTTCGTCCCTACCCGTGGCAGCAGCAATGCCTGGCGGAGTTTGGACGCGGACGCTGGCGCTGGCACTGATACTTCTGGCCCCAGGGAATGGTCAGCAAGGTAGGGCGCTGGTGGATGAGAGCGCAGGTGCGCCAACCCGACTTTTGGGAGAATGGGACTTCCCGGGCGATATGTGGAGCGTATTTATGGCCGCATCTGATAGGTGCCTCTCACTTACTTCTGCTCTGGCCCACAGTTGTCTTTGAATGGTCACTTTTAATTTTCCGTAGTGCACTGGCGGCTGTTACCTCCTATTCTCCTGCTTTCAGACGCTTGGTTCTGTTTATGTTCTTTTGTTTCTCTTCTGCTCCTTAAGGTCCCTTTTATGTAAGAAACTTTTTGGGGGGTATGTCAGTTATTCTATCTGCAATTTAATGCGAATTATCCGAAGAGAGTTCAGTTCCAAACCACAATTTCTACCCCACTCCCACCCCAGAGACGGGAATAATTAATGGATGAGCATTTTATTCCTACAACAAATCAGTAACTGAAGTTTTGTGATGGTATTTTTGTGTACATGTTAGAATCCGATTTGCTACTTACTGCAATAGAGATCTCTACGCAGAGAATAGCGCCCCTCCCACTTCTTTATCCACGACAAAGAAAAGTTCAAAATACAATGAATACAAAATATCCACCCACGGGCGAAGACTGAAGGCTGCGCGTTTCCCTGGCTGGAGCTGAAACACCGTCGCGGAACACAGCAGAACAGATCCGCGGCTGGGGAGCAGACGGGGGCGGCCCCCGCCGACTGGGACAAAGCGGAGCTGGAGCCAGACAGACGGCGCCGGGGCAGAGCCGCCCAGGTTGCCTGGCTGAAGAGGGGCCCGGCCCCAGGCACACCTGGCCAGCGGCAGCCTCACCGCCAGGCTGTTTCACGGCAGCCGGGCTGTAGCACTATCCAGCTGTTCCACAGCAGTGCGGTTTTCACAGTTATGCTGCATTACCCTCGAGCTGCTTGTAAACTTTTCTTCTTCACCGCACCCCAAATTGGGGATTCCTGTTGGAGTTTATATTTGCATCAAAGGCTTTTGGTTGACATTCCATGGAGCCCAGTGTGGGCCTCTGAAGCCAGGATGAAATTTCCTGACAGCACCCTGAAACCAACACCTTCGCAGAGCCTGAGCAATCCCTGTGCTGGACTTGTCTTCCAGAAGGCTCATAAGGAACCTCTGAGCTGTGATTGTGGTTGAATTCACCTTGAGAATGAGTGAATCTTGACAACACTCTGTTGATTAGGTATTATTGTTATTATCCTTAACGTTCAGAGGGGTTAAGTATCACTCCCAAGGTCAGACAGCCTTGATTGGGAAAGCCTGGGGTGAAGCCCAATTTGTCTAATGCTGGTGCCTATACTCCCTCTGGATAAGCCTGTTTTTCAGCTTCGTAAAAGCCCTCACTCTTTGTAGATGCAAAGGCAAGAGGGAGTGAGTAGAACGACAGTTGTTTTGGAAGCCTTTGGTCTTGGGCAGAGGTGCAATGAGAGGATGCAAGCCTAGAATGTGAAGCTCTCAGGGGCGGAATTAGCAGCTCTCTTCCCTTACGGGAATACTGAGTGTGAGACTCAGAATTGTGGCAAGCAGGGTAGAGTGATGACAGGTAGTGATGGACTCCTGTCTCATGTGGCTGGGATGCTTCTGGTGACCCGAACATCGGGGCCGGGGAACATGCTGGAGCACTGAGAAACTGCTTCCTAGCACGACCCACCACCATGTCTGCACTGGGTCCCCTTAGCAGCTAGAAGAAAGGGGCGTGACTGAAACTTTTAGGATGTGGGAAATGGTGGTAAATTCAATAATATGGCCAACGATAAAATGCACCCAAACAAATGTACCACTCTATACACAGTAATGATGAAGAAATAGTTATTCCTTCAAACACACAATGGTGCCAGACAAACAACATTTTGAAAAAAGTAAGTACTCTAGAGCAATGGACCATTCCAAACCCACTGAAATCTCTGGGCACACAGTGTTACAAACACACAGTATGTAATACTTCAGACATAGTTACTTCTCACACACTGGCAAGCTCAACCTATGGGCTACTTGATGCACAGAGATAGCTCCCAAAACAGCAAACTCTTTGGGCATCTGGTCCAAATAGCCCAAGTATATACTAGGAATCACATGTCCACTTCAACTTAGGGAGGGGGGACCCAGACTGGAATTTCTTTGAGGCTTTATCAGACCAATTTATAAATTCTTTATTTTTTACGGGACATAGAAATGAAAGAATTGACCCACTTCAGTAAAGTTCAGTTTCCCCACCTTGAAATGGGTGGGCGTATCATAACACTGGATCTATTCCAGTCGATATCCAGGAGTTCCACACACGGCTACAATGTTCCCTCCTAGATCTGGGAGAGCTGCAGAATGGGGGAAGGGCGAGGGAACAGATCTCTGGATTATGCTCCCCCCCACCCAAACTAGCTCTAGATCGTCTCCTCCTTGGCTTTTGAGGTGATTTAGACCCCCTTGGGTGATGCCGAGGTGATTCCTGGGAGGGAGAAGCCATGTCCGTGGCCCGCTGGGCTGCTCTGGTCCTCCTCCTTCTGCTCTCCCTGAGTGCTTCCATCAGATCTGAGGATTGACTGGTCCTCCCACTTCGTACCAGAATGGGAAGGCCTTTGGGTGGCAGTTTTCTTCTTTTCCTTTATCTTCCTAGGGGCTTCAGCCCGGTGTTGGGAGACTCTCTGGCCTCCACTCTGTTCATGCATATTGTTTTCACTCAACCAGGCTGAGACCTTGAAGGGTCCAGCTCCTGGACCTTCCACAGTCTCTCTAACAGGTTTGCTCGTTGTCTCCCCTTTTGCAGCCATACTCACACTGCCCTTGGGTGTTACTGCCGCTGTCTCTTGTCCTGCCCCCTGGTCACGCTCTGCTAATGCTGGGGCTAGAAAAGCCAGTGTGTCCCTAAGCACAGAGTATTCGCCTGCAGCATATTGTTGGACTTCTTCCCCACCGGCATAAGCAAGAGAGGTGGCCTCAGACACCTCAGCAGACATGGGAAGGCTTCTGATGCTGACCTGGTCTTGGTCACCTTCTCCATGGAGCTCCATGGCCTGAGCCAAGGGAAAGAACACAGCAGCAGATAAAAAAAAAAACAAAAAACATAAGAGACTAGAAAGGGCTGTCACCGGTCTTCAAGGGCTTCTCGTTAAGAACCTTGGAAGTTACTGAGACCAGTTTCCCAGTGGATGCAGGAATCCCCCTATGGCTCCCTGCCAAAGAGTCACTGCAGCTTTGCTCAGACCGCTCCAGTGCCAGGGAGAGCACCAGCGCCATTCACCAGGGAGCATCCTCACACTTTTACCTTTTATACACTTGTCTCAACACTTCTACAAAACAGATTCCCAAAGAAGGACTGCTTGTCAAAAGCGTCAAAAGCTATGTCCCTTTTGCATTCAGACAGCTACAAACTAATTGTGCACCCGTGTGCAAAGCATGCTACAATGCCACAGATTTATACAAAAATCAGTTCATGGCTCAAAAAAAGAGAGGGCTTTCTCATAGTTAAAAATGTCCCATAGCAGAGGAGACTGCCTGCGTCCACAGTAAGATATAAGTGCTCCAGACAGAGCCATGGTTAGGATGCTGTTGACAGCGTCACACCACTGGGTATGGGGCTGGAGGAACTCCCATCTAAGGGACGTCGCGTATTCAGACGCACTTGGGGGGACCTCTCCAGTGTGCCAAGGCCTCCACATACTGGTTCGTCTGGCCTGAGCCCCTTCACGTGCAGTGTTTCCCCCATCAGCCTAAGGGAGCGGCCTAAGAGCCTTGGGTTGCCCTCCTGAAGCACTCTGAGACCCTCTTGGAGAGTTTTTTGGAGAGTTTCTGCAAAAACTTACTTCTGGGTTCATCATGTCCTCTACCTCCAACACAGGTATGTCCGACATTTCATAAGCTGGTATGGCGTGGGTACTGCTGTAAGCCTCCATTGGCGGTCTCAGGAAGAACACCAGGTCTTCCCAGTGTGCAAACAGATCTACATTTATATTTGAAGGAGGGCATAATTGTAGGTAAAAAGAGCGGCCAGTGGCAAGCTTCAAGTGGAGCTGTTGTTTCTCATGATTGTGGATGGACAACATTACAAACTTCAAAGGCAGCAGCCTGGTCAGCTCTAAGCTCTTCACTGACTTGAGCCCCTTCCCCGGGCTATGTCTGTCCTGTTTAGCATTGACTGCACAGGTGACAGCCGGTCGTGCCAGCAGCATGATGTCAGGTATTATGGTGTCGGAGCAGGTATATGCAATGCCAACAGTGACCATTTGCGCACTGTTGAACACATCGATCAGTTCCCCTGTTTCGTTTATCTGGATGAAATCGCTCTCAAATATGGGAATGCACTTGAACATGGCAAACTCACCCTTCCACAGCTGCCTCTGCAGTTTCCCCATGCGGCCACAGAACATGGGCAGCAGGTGTCTGTCCCTGGCACTTCTCCGCCACCCATGTCCCTCTTTCATTAAGACTGCTGCATGTCCTCTCTGGAGCCTCCACCTTGGTCTAAACCACAGCCCCTTGCAGGCCACCTTTATAAGCTTTTGCTGTCCATTGTGACCTGCAGTCAGCTGTCACATACAGTACTGTGTCCTCATCCCCACAGCTGCCTCTAAAGAAAAGGTCAGTGTCCTCCTCAAACAGCCACCCCACAAGGGTGGCAGGAGCCCCACATTTTTACATGTGTTGCTATGCGAGACACAAGTATGATTCCTTCAGGCCGTGTGTTTTCATGCAGCTACCACAGGCAATGATATGTAAATGGTTAGCATTCACAGGAAAACCACCTTTTATTAATCTATAAAGGTAATGATACTAATAGGTGACAAATACTTAAGTCTTTATAAGAATTGAATATATTTTTGAGCCTTTGCTTAATGTTTTCTTTTATAATTATCATAGAACTTCTGTTAAATACTAACTTCGGTCACCAAGTTTGAATTTAAGAATGTGCATTGAGGTTGAACAGGGAAAGCTTTTCCAAGACTCTCAGTATCCTTCTCCAGCCCACACTGAGTTGTAGGTGTCTATAAATTGCTTTCTCACAAACTTAATTATTGGGCTTCTTTATTTTTTTCTGGAAATATTGAGTTGTTATTTGTTGCCTACAAGGAATTAATGTTATATAAGGTAAATATTGCTTTTATTTTTCAATTATTGTTTTTACCTCAGAAAAAAATAACATTAACCTTTCTTGATTGTTTTTGTGTTATACACATAAGAACCTGAAATGAAAGGTTACTTGTTCTTATATTGTTTCCTTATATTTTTCAGAAATAAATCTGATCTATGTACAAAAACTTGCAGTTTGAAAAAAATATGTGCAACATTTGTAACCGCTTAGATGTTATTTTGTCTTTTCATCATCTTGTTGATCTCAATCTATTTTACTAAGGCAAGTTTGCTCTGTAAAAAAAAAGAGAAGTAAACACTCACTCATGTAAAATTTTAAAAATGATATTAGAACCCAATTTATTAAGTTATTTCATAATGATAACAAGGTACCATTAATCTGTGCCTTTTTTGGTTTGCTTACAGACTGACTAGATATTCATGAAGAACTGTTCAAAGTACATGTAATAACATTAAATATTATTTATTACAGTTAGATAAAATCTTGTGATCCTTCTCAGGTTCGAGGCTCATATGTTGGTAAAATTAATAATGTCTAATCACTAATCTACTTTCTGCTGTATAGGTTTGCCTATTCTGCATATTTTCTATAAATAAAATCATATAATAGATTGTCCTTTGTGATTAACTTCTTTCACTTAGCATAATGTTTTCAAGGATTGTATTGTAGCTTGTATCAGTACTTCATCTTTTTTTGTAATGAAATAAATTCCCATTGTTAATTATACACCACAATTTGTATATACATTCACTAGTTGATAAATATTTGGATTCTTCCCACATTTTGGTTTCCATAAATAATGCTGGTATAAACACCTAGGTACAGATTTTGTATGGTGTTGTTTTCATTTCTTTTAGGCATATACTTAGGAGTAAAATTACTGGATCATAGGGTAAGTCTATGTTTAAATATTAGAGAAACAGCCAAAATATATTCTAAAGTGGCTGCACTGTTTTGCACCCTGCAGAAGTGTATGACAGGTTCAATTTATAAAAATCCTTGCTGACACTTGTTATTATCTGAGATTTTGATTCTAGTCATCCTAGTGGGTGTGAAGTGACATCTCATTGTGGTTTGATTGCATTTCCCTGGTGGCTAATGATGTCAATCATTTTTTCATGTGTTCATTGGATATTTGCATATCTTCTTTGGAGAAACACCTACTCGGATTCTTCGACAATTTTTAAATGTGGTCGTTGGCCTTTTTGTTATTGAATCATATGAGTTATTTGTATATTCTAGATACAATTCTCTTATCAAATATGTCATTTGCAATTACTTTTTCCCATTTTTTTTTTACTTTCTTGATAATGCCCTTTGAAGCAGAAGTTTTTAATTTTGAAGAAGTCCAATTTCTCTATCTTTTTTATTCTTGTTTGTGCTTTGTTGTCATATGTTGAAATCCATGGCCAAATCTAAAATCATGAAGATTTACCTCAACATTTTTTTCTAAGTGTTTAATACATTTTGAGTTAAATTTTGTAACTGTTATAATGTAAGGGTCCAACTTCATTCTTTTGCATGCCAATATCCAGTTTTCCCAACATCATTTGTTGAAAAGCCTGTCCTTTTCCCATTGAGTGGCCTTAGCACCTATATTAAAAATCCATTGAATACCACAGCTATTTGGGTCTATTTCTGGACACTCAGTTTTATTCATCAATCTCTGTCTATCCTTAAGCCAGCACCATACTATCTTGATTACAGTTGCTTTGTACTAAATGTTGAAATGGGAGAATTGGAGTACTCTTGTTTTGTTCTTTTTGAGGACTGGTTTAGCTCTTCTGGATCCCTTGAAATTTTCCATGATTTTTAGAATTAGTTTGTCATTTTCTACAAAGGAGTAAGCTGGTATTCTGATAAAGACTGTGATGAGTTTGCATGTCAATTGGGGGAGTATTGCCATCTTAATAACAGTAAGTCTTCTGATCCATGAACATGAATATATTTCCATGTATTTACTTAGATCTTAGATTTCTTCTAAGAAGGTATGGTAGGAGTAACAAATCCTAACTCAGAATCCATCAGCAATATTGTTTGTTGAACTTACCAGGATGATCAATTCGTAAAGTATATAAATGCCTAATTGCTAACTTGTACACCTGAAACTAATATACAATATGTCAACTGCAACTGGAAATTAAAAAAAATATTGCTAGTCCAAATTAAATGAAAATAAAGTCCTTAAAGCTCAAATATGTAAAAAAAAAAAGCATTCTAGAGAATTTGTTAATTGGTTTATTGTATTTATGAAAAGGTTTGAGGTAAGTGATCTTTGACTACGGAGACGCTGACATTTCAGAGGGTCTTTATGTGCAATTATAGGTTGATTTGACTTGATTTATTTTTGTTTTGGGAATCAATTTTAATTGAGAGCTGAACTATTTTAATGAAGAATGTACTTACATAAAGACACCTCCCTTTCCTTCCTAGCTCAAGAGTGCTCTCCTGGGGGACACCAGTTACTTCAGAGCCCTCACAGAAGTGTCCATTTTGACTCAATGCACCTCCAGCAGTCAGCCACTCAAGACCTGATATGTGACCATTCTCTTGCGGCTGGATGGTATCGATTTCTCATCTTTGACAGACCTGCTGAGATGCCAACCAAATGTGTCGAGGTATTTCAACTCTTACTAAGAACTGCGTGTGCTTTTTCTTATGTATTTTTTTCATAGGAGGATTGACTCTTATTACACCCAATGTATTTCCCATGCTGCATTATTATTTTTATTTTGTATTAATTGAATTAATCTGGAGTATTCCTGTTTCTTCTTATATTATGTAATAAAGATAGTAACAGTTTCTGCTATGCTCATGCAGTGCACCAAGTGTTTTTACCTCTAGTAGCTCATATAATGTTTACAGCAGCTCCAGAATGAATCTATTGTTCTTATTTCCCTTATACAGTGAGGGACACACATTCTTAGGTGGGACACCCCTGGAGTCAGCAAACAAGGATAGCAGGTCTTCATTCTCCAGATTTCATGTCCTTAACCATGAGCAACCTGAAAAACCTGCTTCCATTCCTGTCGGTCTTAAATAGAAGGCTAATTTTCCTTATCGTCACCCACATTTTGTGAACTATGCAAAAACAGGAATTATCTTCCCTTTTAAGCATGTAACTAACTATGTGAAAAGACACCTCAGGAAAGATACCCAAATTTTAAGTTGTGGCATTGTAGCTGTCTGATTTTCTCCTTGTTTGTTTGCTTCTCATTTTGGTGATGTTCTGCTTGCAATAAACTAAAAAAATAATCAGAATTTGAAAGTAAGATGTGAGGAAATTCACTACCTCTTTAGGTATCTGAGTTCTCTTAGTTCTATATTTTAGTTTGTGGCTGAATTACTTATAATTGATTCCAGAACCTCACACAAACGTCAAGGTGAAGTGGCTCTTTTCCTGGAGGTCAGTGGCGCCCCTGCTCACCCCTGCTCACCTGGGGACAGGACACAGCTCCCTGCGCCCGCTCTCCTGACCCTCCGGAGCCGTGTCTTTGCACCATTCAGCTGGAGAGTTGATAGAATTTTCTTTTTGTTTACAGGATCTTACAAGTCTGTATAAATAACTTTTTATTCATAATGTGCAAAGTGACTTACGTGCATTATAGAAAACTTAGAAAATAAAGGACAGGTGATAAAATAATATTCACTTATAATCCGCCCACACACTCATTCCACCATTAACATTTTTCTGTTGTTCCTTCTTATTTATATTGTTTTGTAAGGTTCATGCTTAATGTTCAATTGTACAAACATGTTTATTTTTCAGTTACAGCTATAGCATTAACATTTTCCTGTTATTAAAAATTCTTTATATAAGCTCAAATATAATATTCTGTCAACGTATACATCATATTTATTTAAACCATTACCATATGTGTGCACTTTTAGGCTTTTGCTATAATAAGTAATTATGCAGTTAGGAAATGTGCATATAAATCATTGTTCTATTTTAATCTTCTTGAGGTTTTAAATACATATAGTTAAATTGTTTTTCAAAAATATAATGCTAATGTTTAACTCCAGCAGCAATAGATAAAAATACATTTTCCAGTACTAAATATTTGCATGTATTCATTAAACATCTGTATTTATTCTTTAAATTATGTTTGTGTATTTTGTCCATTTGTGGTCGTAGAATTTTAAAATGGATATTACATGGCTAAAATCAAATAAGAAATATAATAATGTACCAATAAATAATATATACAAAATATAATGTTATTAACAAGTAATTTTCTCTATATTTAACTTATTTGTCTT